GGAGAGAACAACTTGCTATTCTCACTTGGTCACGATTCTCATTCTTATTAAAATACATTGAGCCTTTCTAAAGCCTACCATGAGATGCCAGTTTCAAGCTTGGTCAAGGCACCAGTATTTACAACTCAATAAATTTGATCATTCTTCATTGAACACCCATGCGTGGGCAAGGCTCAAAGCTACCGGCCTGGGGACCTGGTGAGGAGCAAGAGGCAGAGCTGCCCCTAGCACTACAATCATTCATTGGGGAGGATCCAGATGACACTCAAATCCCAACCGAAAGCCAGAAGGGGCCTCCCTGAAGACCCAGGCAGCGTCATGAAGAGAAAAAACGGTACCCCGAGAGCTGATTGGGGTGAGGAGCAAAATTAGCTAACATTTGCTGAGCATCTTCTATGTGTCAAGTACTGTGCAAAGTGTTCAATGTTATATAATTGAATCTTCGTAGGACAGCAACTCTGTGAGTGGGATTATTACGTTCATTTCACTGATAAGCAAACTGAGGCTTGGCAGGCTGTCTTACCCAGGGTCACCCAGTAAGTGGCAAAGCCAGATCATATCTGGGAGGGCCTGATTCCAGGCCCCATCCCCTCAATTGCTCTGTTCTACCTCTGGAAAAGAAGAACATTTGGAATCAACCCAGGGAATGGTGGATAGAAACAAACCAATAGAGAGTGAAGCATTCCAGGAAGTAGGAATTTAGGAAGGGCCAAGGGAAATCATAAGTTGATGTCCATTACGAAGAATCTTATATGTCAGGCTTGGGAGTCTGCCTAACTTGATAAATTAAAGGCACCTTTGCAATATCAAACCATCTCTCTTCAGTAAACAGGGATGCATATTGAGTCTTTCTAGAATCCAAAATATTTCAGGGCGCCTGGGTGGCTCAGTTGGTTAAGTGTCTGACTTCAGCCCAGGTTTTGATTTCACGGTTCATGAGTTCAAGCCCCACATCTGTGCTGACGGCTCAGAGCCTGGAGCCTGCTTTGGATTCCGTTCACACTTTGTCTCTTTCTCTCTCAAAAATAAATAAACAGTAAAAAAAAAAAAAAAATTTAGAATCCAAGGTTTTTCTAAGAACATTTAACATATAAATAAATACAGGAACAAAAGACTTACTCTACTATGGTCAGACTGAAAGAATGTAAATTCAGTAACATAAATACAATGATAATCAACCATAAGCCATTTGTTATCAATAGGCTGAAACAAAAATGTCACGAAAGGACAAAGGCAAACACATACTATGGAGAATGAGCAATAACCATCCCAGTCTTTCCAAAGCAGACCACTTTACACACCAGCAGGCATTTAATTTTTATTTTAAACAGCATTTTTGCATGTGTTCTATGATTACAAAAGTAATACATGGCTTATTGCAGAAAGCTTGGAAAACACAGAAAAGCAGAGATATGTATCTGCCTTATTTCTAGCACTATCTGCTAGCTGTCCTACACAGCTGCTGTTCCTCTCTTTATAAAACACACGCTTGTGTTTTTTATAGTATTTGAAGCATTCATTACTCTATGGACCGGCATTCCACTGGATTCTGTTGACACTGAGTACTGATCACCTGTGAGATTCCCAACTTCCTTGTCCTTCCCAACTCCCTTCTCTGTCCCTTTAAGAAAGACCCATGTTGTGAACAACCTGAAAGCAGGGACCAAGTTTCATGCATACCTCTACCCTGAGCCCTTAGCATGATAGCAAGAGAATATTCCTTTTCTTTCTTTAATTCACTCACTGTTCTTTATCTAGTGTTGAAAAATAAGAAATGCCAAAGCATTACCTTTAGACTGGCAAATTAATAGGCATCTTATGGCAAAAGGGATACTTTAAGGACATGAGCATAAAGGTAACCTGCAGTCTGGTTATGAGGAGAGAAATGACAGCCCTCATTTGTCAAGATGGGCTTCTCTGAAGAAGTAGTAGCTTCGGATGACTTTCTGACTTTTTTCTCCCCAAACAACATTTATTTACTGGGCATCTCCTGAATACCTTTGAAGTCATGTGACAGTTACAAAGCTATACAAGATAGGATCCTTCCTTCAGCAGCTTCAATCTAACAGGAGGAAAAAAGGCAGGTAGGTAAAACCTTGCAAATGAGATAAAACATGTTAAGTGGCCTAAGATTGTTAGAATGTTCTGGGAGTTCAGAGATGTGAGCTGAACTCGCATCTGATTGAGGGGATCAGGCATTGATCAGCCTTCGAGCAGGCATAAGTTATACATATGAAGTGTGTGTGTGTGTGTGTGTGTGTGTGTGTGTGTGTATGCATGGCTAGGCAAGGGAGGAAATTCGAAGCAAAAGGAACAGACTGAGCAAAGGCAAAGGAGTATAAGAGACTAAGAAGTGTTTACGGAAGAGAGAGGAGCCAAATTTGGCTACAGCAAAAAAGTAACAGAAGAAAAAGCTGGAAAGGAAGAGTGTGAACCCATGGCTGAGAGCCCGGAATAGCAAACTAGTTTGGACTCTACTCCCACTACAATTTGGAACTATTTAGTCATTCAGCAAATATTTCTTGATCATCTGCTACGTGCTAGGTGCTGTGATACATTTGGTGAGATACAAAAAGGAAAACAAGGCATGGCTTGCGGTTCAAAAGCAAGGTGTCCCTGCTCTCACCACAGAGCTCCATGATAACCTTCTAGAAATGTAGTTCAAACTCAAAGTGGACTTATTAAGAGCAAAATGAAACTGGCCAAAAGACAAATTAATGATAAGGAATCTTTTTTGGTTACTTATTGCTGAGTAATAAACTATCCCAAAAATTAATGATTTAAAACAACAATGATTTGATTTGATTAACCTGCTTACGATTCTGCAATTTTGGATGGGCTTCATGGAGATAGCTCATCTCTTTGCCACGGGGTGTCAGCTGGGGTAGCTTGAACAACTGAGGTCTGGCTGGAATGGCCAACTTGTATCGTACATCTGGACCTCATACTTCATTGTAGGTTGAGTTCCTCAGCTCTCCTCCACAGGGCATTGCATGTGGTTAGCTTGGTTTTCCTTCCAAAATGGTGGTCTCAGACATTCTTCCTTGTTTCTGGTAATCTGACTTCTTACATGGCACCTGGCTTCACCCGGAGCACAAAAAAGGAAGCTCTTAAAAAGTAGCTTATAATTGGCACGGTGGTATTTTCAGCATATTCTAATGGTTAAAGTGGGTCACAAAGTCAGCCCAGATTCAAGGGGAGGGGTCTACACAAGGGCATGAATATCAGGAGGCATGATTCTTTGGAGGCCACCAGAGTTACCAGTCTACCAGAAATCTTAAAGTCAATTCAACAGCATCTTCCACAATTTTAACCAGCTAACGGGCGTTAAGTACATAGATGTTTCTGCTCTACAGCACATAACCTGCCTGCCTCACTCTACCTCCACCTTTTTGCATGCTAGCAAAATGCAGTTCTCAAGCCACTATTGATCACTTAATCGAACTGCATCAGATTCTAAACGGACCTTGGAACATAGTTTCAAACAGGCCAACATCCGGGAAGGCAGAGGGCTCTCAGCTCAGAACCATCCCTCCTGCTCCTGAGCCTGTGTCACTCCCGAGAGCTCCCCAGGTCATGTACCCCAGCTTCAAAATAGGAAGAAAGAAAACCCATTTGTGCTCCAACTCCCCCTTCCGCCAACTGCCACATCCTTGTCTCTCCTAGGAGACAGCTCAGCCCTCATCTGTGTTACAAGGCCCTGTCTCTGGAGAGCCAGAGCAGAAGATTGAGTTCCTGGTTTTCAGAATGACATTAAGATCCCTCTACAGCCTTTATTACCCTCTTATGTTTTCCATTTCCCAGACTTGTCCAGTATAGTCTGAATGCCAAGTTCGGTGGTAATACCAGAATTTCTATAGGAGAAGCTTGGGAAGCAAACTGGTTGGATGGAAGGTCGGAGGGATGAAGATATTTTTCCTGAAATTTTTACAAGAGCCATGTGATCCCTCATAGGACTAGAATTGGTCACCAAAATTGACCTAATTAGCCAAGAGGTGACAAATACAAATATATACTCAGATCACAAATTTAATTAATAAAAATGTGTACTTAGCACATATAAAAGCAAAAGTTAACTGAGTTAAATAGAGCAGCAGCTAGGCAGTTTTTTTAATGTGTTTTTGTTTTGTTTTTTACATTTCTAACCATCTGTCAATTATTCCACATTGAAGCAGAATCACATTGTAATTAAATGTTCCAGCAGTCCGTCCATACAGATTTGAATTCTGGCTCCATCCATTCACTGGGTCATCTTGGGCAAGCTACTTAATTTCCCCGTGCCTTAGTTTTCCCACCTACAAAATGAAGATAGTAATAGTACTTTTCTCATAGGGTGTAAATAATACTTGCAAAGTGCTTAGTGTCCAATAAACATTCTCAATAAATGTTCCTTATTATTCCATACATTACTATGGGTTTTTTTAGCCCCGTGCTTTATAGATATTTTTTTTCTCTTTATTAATTCATGTTTGGAATGATCTAAAAGGCAATGACTGTTGAAGATTAGGAGAAGCTAAAGATACCCTCTAAACCCCCTTCTTGGTCCCTTGGCCAACTTTAAATAGATCTTGCCAACAAAAGGTATCAATACCAAAGTGTCAATAGCAGATTAAAAAAAAAAATACTTCAAATAATATTCTCCTAAGCCTCAGAAATTAAAAATAAAATTAAAAATAAAAGAGAGGTGACAGAGATGTACTTAAGAAGGAAAAGGCTGAGAAATAAGCACTGAATCTACACATACTTTAAATGTTTTAAACAAAGTGTGTACCTTCTCATCAAATTTGTATGGGGAGAAGATGATATATATAGAAGCAATTTAGAATTTGCTTGGGATATAATTATACAAATCCATGCAACTGCCATCATCTGTTCTCCCAGCATCCTGTTTGCTATTACAAACACAAGAGGCAAGCAGAAGCATCCAGAAGAGTTAAAAGAGGGGGACTCTCGGCCCCCTGCAAGGTGCTCACTGGAACAATTTCCCTGCTGCTCTGTGTTTACAGAATCCTATTTGCATAGAGGAACTGCAGGAGCTCTGGATGATAGTGGCTCTGAAAGAAATCAGCAAAAGTGCACGTGAGGGATGGATTCAATACGCTTCCTTGACTCTAGAAGGTGTAGATAGTTGTCAAGCACAGAGCATGAGGACGATCAATCTTCAGATTCTCAGAGGTGGAGATCGTTGCCTAATGATCTAAACTGGGAGTGCCAATAGATTTTGTGCACAGTCCTCGGGGCATTTTGTCATTTACACTGCATGATGGGTCAGTTACAATCGAAACATAATTGGCCTGAGTCATTTTATGGGGAGTGATTTCCTTGTGTGGCTGTCCACCTTCTGGGTTGACACCAGGAGGGCAGGGGCCTCTAGGAATTCTCTCCTACCCTCTTTCACTCACCAGCTGCCGGCAGAGTTTAGGGTTCCTTTGATCTGCTTCACTCTGGAAGCTGTATTCCTTTCTTTCTTTCAGATATGGAGAACAGGCTCGAAATGTTGTTTTGCAAGCCTGAGAAAAATAGTATTACCATCTTATTGTCAAAAACATTAGAGAGTTCTATAATCCAAGCAAGGAAGAGCATTGTACCCAATCTGTGGTCTGGGGGCTACTGAGGGTATAAAGGTAACTTCCAGAAGTTTCGAAGACATCAACCTCGTCTTGTTAACCAGGACATAGCACCCAGAACATGCCCAATCTCGTCTGCTCTCAGAAGCTAAGCAGGGTCAAGCCCGGTTAGTACTTGGATGGGAGACATCAACCTTAAAGGATTTTGCTTGTAAAGTGGCCATGTTTATAATTTGGGGCTGGTGGCAACAGCATAACTTTATAGTTTACCACAGCCCTTATTATTGTCCCATCAAAAGTAGTTCTGGATTCCTAAGTTTGATACCTCTCTCTCTGTCTCTGTCCCTCCTGTGTGCACTAACTTAAAGAAGACAAGTGTTCGATGGAAACTTTTGCTCTCAGTGGTTTTGAAATACTCCCCCACTTCAAAGCAGGCCTGCAGTTGATCCAACCTCGTTAGGATGTGTTTTCTCCAAGAATAAAACAAAAGCTCTACAGGGGACTGAGAAGCCAAAGGTGGGAAATCTATACCAGGCACAGTGAGAGCAGCTAATTGGCCTGAATTAATATCATTGTTATGTGGTCTACTGCCCCAGAGACTAGACCTGGGCCTCTCTGCCCCCACTCTCCATTAACCTGAGTTTATCTAGCATTGACACGTGCTGAGATTGGGCGGGTGGGAGAGGAGCAAATGGAAGATAACACTTAAAAAAAAAAAAAAAAAGATTTTATTTTTAA